GGGTGCTGCTGAACAGGGAGATGGTGGTGGCAGATGCCAGCCAGGGAGGGAGATGCTGTCCCCGGGAGGGTGGCTTGTGATGCCCAGTGGTGCCAGCCCACACACTTTCCTCCCTCCTCCGCAGCTTGCAAAACCGGAGTGAGCTCCCGATTTTGGGTCCCCAACATTTTGGGACTTTTCCAGCGTATGGGGAACGAACTAGATAAGAGCAAGTTAATTATTTCTCAGTGCAGTTTCCAGTTGTTTGCAGGTGGTGTGCCCCAAGTCTGGGATGGGACAGGCTGGCAATGCCCGCTGTTCCCCCCCTGGGTGGTGGGTGCCCCCATTACTCTGTCCTAGGCTGGATCAGCCACGGGTAATGAACAGCAGGGAACGAGGATGCCATGGGATGCGTCACAACAGGCCCGACATGGTGGTGCTGCTCCTTGCAGGTGGTCAGCCAGCTGAGCCTGGACTCTCTGTCTCCATTTCACCCACGGGAGCGCATCATCAAGTAGGGACCCCCATCCTGCTTCTCGTCATGGTGCCCATCCCTGCCCGGATTGTGGGATCCTACTGCCTGCATCTTGCACTCAGCTTGGTTTGGGAGTGACACCTGCACCCCGCTCCTCCTCACAGCCCAGGGACATCTCTGCCGGGTGCTGTGAAGGCACGGGGCTGTCCCTGCTCCCAAACGTTCACAGTTGTGAATGTGGGGTGAGGGGACTCCAGGCCACGCGGGCAGGCAGCGGGGGGAGGTTTTGTGACCAAACCCGAGCGTGTGCATGTTAAATCCTCCACTCCATCCCCAGCCCAAACTTCCCTGCCTCTGGCTCATGCGCTGCCCTCCAAGGAGCGAAAGTCCTGCAGCACCCAGTGTAGAACAGGTGGGCAGGGGGGGAGAGTAAAGGAAACCCACCTGTGTGGAGGTGACATCAGAATGTGCACTGTACGTCCTGGTCATCTGCCCCCGGGGATGTGCCTGCAGACATGTTCGTGTCCACTAAATGCCGTTTTCATGAGCCCACCCTGTGTAATGTCTTGCCTGAATTTTCTCACGTGTGGCAAGGTTGTGATGTGTTTTCCACTGCCACAGCCTCCTCTAGGTTGGAAACCGTCCCCTTGGAAAGCGTTATGTGCCGCTGGGTCGCGGAGGGTGGGAGTTCTGCAGTGTAAGGGTCTGCCCTGCTGCAGGACTGGGCAGTGATGCTGTGGCTCAGCACGAGAGCTTCTCACAAGCCTCTTTTCCCAGGTGGGAGCCAAAGTGCTGGAAGTGGCTATATTTGGAGACTACTTCAACATCGTGACCAACCTCAAAGACCTAAAGGATGAGAAGTTCAAGGTTGCGGTAAGTCGGGGCCACACGTGTGCCCCAGCCCTGGTGATGAGGATGAGGTGGGACAGAGATGAAGATGAAGCCCCTGGGACCCCCCATACCTGGGTACCCGCTGCCTTTACCACCTCTGGGATGCATTGGGTGGACGTCTCTTCTGTCCTGCCAAGTGGCAAATGATGATGAGGGTGGCTTGTGCTGCCCAGTGGTGGCAGGCCACGCCTTCTCTT